AATCCTTAGTGTCCACTAAATCTGATGCCCACCAGTGGTTGAGTGAATAAAATAACTGAACATTGGTAGTTGGCTGTGGATTCATGCCTCACCAACAAGCTAGCTGCATGGAGTTTTCCAGGTTTCTTCATGTGTCCAATAATTAAATAGTGGCTCAGTTTCCCTTAAAAAATCCTCCCAGGAGGCATCCCCTTTGGCAGATCACCAATATGGTATGTTTCCTTATCCCATCAATTCATCCACTAAACCCAAGTTCTACTATGTATGTTTAAACGGTAAAGTGTCCAAATATGTGATGATTTTTAAGTTTTTAATAATAAATTTTAAATATAGTGCAATAGAAAGTCAAAGCCACATAAAAGCTTCAAAGTAAACTTTACTATATGGTCATTTCCTTTTTGTAAACACAAGAGGAAATTACCATATTAAATGATTTTTAGATAACTATTGCAATTAAACTAATACTTACAAGGTATCCCATATTATGACCCCAGTTGTCTAAAATGAAGTGGAGTTCCCATTTTAGGAAATGGATCAGGACCAAGTACAATTATATCCAATGAATCTTGAACAATTCATTGATTGTTCAAGATTCATATTCTTTATCTATCAATGGGGTTAGAGGATAATCACAGTCACTTTGATCTCCAAGTAAAGTAAGTAGAAGTTTAAAAAGTTACAATTTTTTTTTGTTTCTTTTTTTCATTCAGTTTAGCTTTATCCAAGAAAAGCTCTTGTCAAATTCATGTATTGTTTAATAAGAGGTACCCCAAATTAGGGCACAGGTGTGATGTTACTTAAAGTAACAAGAGTTTAGTGTAATAGTTATGTAATACTGTTAACAGCAAAAGATGTGAATACTGATGTTAAAAATACATCATCAAAATATAGTAACATAATATCAATACAATATAGCAATGAATAGATATCAAGTTTCATAAGTAAACAAATTTTCTATAGAAATCCTTCAGTTGTTATAACAAAATGTATTAGCATCATTCAGCTATAGCATTTAAATAATTCTATTTATTTAGAAAGAATAATAAACATGTTCAGTGCTGAAGATGTATTGGGGCATCCTACACTACCTCACTCAATATGCTGAGGATGCTCATATATATTACATTATATATGCTTAGGTAAATTTTATCTCTTGTTTATAAGAAAGTTAAATTTATTTTTATTGCTTACTGTACACATCAAAGAATATATTTCATGCATTGTCTTATATTAGTATTCTATATGTTAAATTTTAATTGATACAAATTGAGCATCATGCTATATTTTTACAGGAAAAAAAGCACAGAAGCAAAAATTCCTTTGACACTTTCAATGTACTATATACTATGATTAAATGAAAAATTTTTGATATTAGTAATTAGTAGAAAAATTTGTTTTTATTCCAGCAGTGAATATGTTAATTTAAATATTATTATTATTACTATGATTATTAGTAATATTTTATATATAATGAACATGCAGGAACTTGATAATATCAATGAAATATTATCATACTTGATTATTCAAATTATATTTATTTATTTTTCATTTTTTGATTATTTTCACTCTGTGGACACTGAATCTTTTAATTATGAGTTTGACCAGGAATGGAGTGGCTGAGTGGTGAGTGACAGAGTCTGACATGTCCTGCACAAACCACCTCTAAAAAATTCCTATGATTTTTCAACTGCCCAGATTTGATCTAGTTGACCCAGAGTGGTAGGCTGATGGCTGAGGCAGTTAAGAAATCTTATGTTATTTATTAGAAATTATTGAATGTACAGTACATGTATGTATAATGATACTTACTGTTCCTCTGTGTTTCCGAGGGATTCCCTTTCTCACATAGCGTTTTACTGAAATAAATTGAAATTTATTGTTGAACTTAAAAAATATTAAAATTGTGATCTTTAACTAGTATTCAGTAATGAACAAGCTGCATTTTATTAATCTAAGTAAAAGTTTTAATACAAATATTTGTACTAGTTGGTACAAAGTTTAAATACAAGCTTATATAGCTATCATCAGGCTTTGGAACAAAAAAAAAAAACATTCAAATTTAAAGTTTATTTATTTAAATTTTGTTAGTTTAATAACTACTTAAAAATTGTTTTTAACTAGCTATTAAGGTGTAGATTGTTTAGAATCAATAATATAAACTTATTAGCTTAAACACAAATTTGCAAGTTGCAACAATAATTAAATATACGGTAAAATGTTGGTTTAGGAAACACCTGCAGTTAGCAGACAAAATAGCAATAGAAGTATTAATATATTTCCATCTTGATTAAGTGAACACCGACGTCTGTGAACAACATAAAAATTTCCTATTCTTAATAAGAAATTTTTTCATGCTTTATAAAATTTGAATAAGAAATTTTTTCATGTTTTATGAAAATCAATTAAGTATCATCATGCTTACTTTCAATTTCATTATTCTTTGTGTTCTTTGTGTTGTATTTGCAGAAATTTCATGTTTTGAAACTTGTCAGTATTTTTACAGTTCCACTTTTATATAGTACTCTGACATTCTTCATATCAAACATGAGTAGATTGATGGTGACATTTTACCTTGCATAATGAAAGAGAGACATTAAGAGACTCAAAAATTTTGTAAAAGAAAACAACAGAGGCAGAATGAATAAAATGAGTCATATGTTGGAAAATTTGCAAATATCCTGTTTGAGAAGTTTAGATAGTGTAATCAGCAATGCCAACATGTTTAATCCATAGTAGTTGAGGCTTTGAATCCTACTCCAAGTCAATCTTTTAAACTTCTCTAAATTAATCATCATTTATTTTTAATTATTGAATTCATTACAAAATAGTACTAAACATTTCTAGTGCTAACTTATGTTAATTAATTATTGTGTAAAAATAACTATAATCTCAGTGGTTCTTTGGGTACTTCTAGTTACTTTTATTATTACATACTTTGATACATAATTTGGTAACAATTATTAAAAAAACTTGTTTATGTAAATAAATATCCATTAAAAGTTGTGGTATAAGTCAAGTGGACAGTTGCTAATCCTTAGTGTCCACTAAATCTGATGCCCACCAGTGGTTGAGTGAATAAAATAACTGAACATTGGTAGTTGGCTGTGGATTCATGCCTCACCAACAAGCTAGCTGCATGGAGTTTTCCAGGTTTCTTCATGTGTCCAATAATTAAATAGTGGCTCAGTTTCCCTTAAAAAATCCTCCCAGGAGGCATCCCCTTTGGCAGATCACCAATATGGTATGTTTCCTTATCCCATCAATTCATCCACTAAACCCAAGTTCTACTATGTATGTTTAAACGGTAAAGTGTCCAAATATGTGATGATTTTTAAGTTTTTAATAATAAATTTTAAATATAGTGCAATAGAAAGTCAAAGCCACATAAAAGCTTCAAAGTAAACTTTACTATATGGTCATTTCCTTTTTGTAAACACAAGAGGAAATTACCATATTAAATGATTTTTAGATAACTATTGCAATTAAACTAATACTTACAAGGTATCCCATATTATGACCCCAGTTGTCTAAAATGAAGTGGAGTTCCCATTTTAGGAAATGGATCAGGACCAAGTACAATTATATCCAATGAATCTTGAACAATTCATTGATTGTTCAAGATTCATATTCTTTATCTATCAATGGGGTTAGAGGATAATCACAGTCACTTTGATCTCCAAGTAAAGTAAGTAGAAGTTTAAAAAGTTACAATTTTTTTTTGTTTCTTTTTTTTCATTCAGTTTAGCTTTATCCAAGAAAAGCTCTTGTCAAATTCATGTATTGTTTAATAAGAGGTACCCCAAATTAGGGCACAGGTGTGATGTTACTTAAAGTAACAAGAGTTTAGTGTAATAGTTATGTAATACTGTTAACAGCAAAAGATGTGAATACTGATGTTAAAAATACATCATCAAAATATAGTAACATAATATCAATACAATATAGCAATGAATAGATATCAAGTTTCATAAGTAAACAAATTTTCTATAGAAATCCTTCAGTTGTTATAACAAAATGTATTAGCATCATTCAGCTATAGCATTTAAATAATTCTATTTATTTAGAAAGAATAATAAACATGTTCAGTGCTGAAGATGTATTGGGGCATCCTACACTACCTCACTCAATATGCTGAGGATGCTCATATATATTACATTATATATGCTTAGGTAAATTTTATCTCTTGTTTATAAGAAAGTTAAATTTATTTTTATTGCTTACTGTACACATCAAAGAATATATTTCATGCATTGTCTTATATTAGTATTCTATATGTTAAATTTTAATTGATACAAATTGAGCATCATGCTATATTTTTACAGGAAAAAAAGCACAGAAGCAAAAATTCCTTTGACACTTTCAATGTACTATATACTATGATTAAATGAAAAATTTTTGATATTAGTAATTAGTAGAAAAATTTGTTTTTATTCCAGCAGTGAATATGTTAATTTAAATATTATTATTATTACTATGATTATTAGTAATATTTTATATATAATGAACATGCAGGAACTTGATAATATCAATGAAATATTATCATACTTGATTATTCAAATTATATTTATTTATTTTTCATTTTTTGATTATTTTCACTCTGTGGACACTGAATCTTTTAATTATGAGTTTGACCAGGAATGGAGTGGCTGAGTGGTGAGTGACAGAGTCTGACATGTCCTGCACAAACCACCTCTAAAAAATTCCTATGATTTTTCAACTGCCCAGATTTGATCTAGTTGACCCAGAGTGGTAGGCTGATGGCTGAGGCAGTTAAGAAATCTTATGTTATTTATTAGAAATTATTGAATGTACAGTACATGTATGTATAATGATACTTACTGTTCCTCTGTGTTTCCGAGGGATTCCCTTTCTCACATAGCGTTTTACTGAAATAAATTGAAATTTATTGTTGAACTNGATGGCTGAGGCAGTTAAGAAATCTTATGTTATTTATTAGAAATTATTGAATGTACAGTACATGTATGTATAATGATACTTACTGTTCCTCTGTGTTTCCGAGGGATTCCCTTTCTCACATAGCGTTTTACTGAAATAAATTGAAATTTATTGTTGAACTATTATTATTTTAAAATATAATTTTTAAGAAATTTACTCATAAAAAATAATTAGCAATTAATTATTTGTATAGTTAATATTTGTAGTAATTTATTTACATTGTTGTTTTTTGTATATGTTGTAATAAACCAATATATAAACAATTCCAAAATATTGTACATTATAAATAAAACTCATATAATAGAAAAAATATAAATCTACTTCAATGGAAAAAATACTGAGAGACAAATGTTTAAAATAATTTTATTGCCATTAATCAAAAGAACTATATGATGTGTAATCAACACTTCTATCTACACTATTTTATCCAAATAAGAATCTGTCACTTTTAACAATAGAAAAATAAAACTTTAAAATTTTATGAGTGCACAATGGGTATAAAACATCAGGTTTAACAAAAAAATAAGGCACATAACTATCACAATATAACTTTTAAATAAAACTTTAAAGTTTACATCACCAACCTATTAAATAATATGAAATTAAAAATGATTCCTTATGCAAATGACATTAAATTATTAAATCCAGATCCTTCTGTTTTACAATTTGATCTTAATATACTATCCTCAGCATTTTCTAAAACTAACTTAAAAATTAATATTCAAAAAACAATAATAATATGTTACTCATTGATCCAAAAATTCAAATCTTCCTGCATTTAACATTAACATTCATGATTTAAGATATTTAAATATGCATACCTAGAAATGATATTTGATAATAAATTGACATTTAAACATCCCATAGACAATATAAATTCTTTGCAATTCACTGTGGGATATTATAGCAAGTCTGCAAAACAATTTCCTCTAAAATAGTTCTAAGAAATATTTTCTTTGCAAATGTTCAATCTATTATAGATTACTGTTTGCCCATATGGTCAGGTCAATGACTGCAGCTTTGCATCTTAAAGTTAATAAAGAAATTCAGAGTCTACTTCCTGTTAAATAAATTTAATAATTTGCCATATACTAAAAATCTTGACATTGCTCTTCAGATTAGGCTTACCTGAACTTAAAGAATAAAATATTTTGACCATATTTTGTGTTTTGAGTATTTTAACAGTTTAATACATAACTGCTGGTTCAAATTAAGAATATACCCTAGAACAGCGATTCCCAACCCAGGGTATGCGATAAGTTGTTTAGGGGTACAGATAAGTTGTTTAGGGGTACAAGTTAGTTATTATGGCTAAAAAAATAATATATTATGTATCACAAATTAATAGTATTAAAAAATTATTAGGTAAAAAATGTTCCTTGCAATAATCACAAACTTTATTATACATTTCAAAATGCAAAAATAGAAATAAAAACTTATGCTGTCGAGTGTACAATGCAACAATTGCAACATTTATTGATCAACAGATCAATAAATGTTGCCAGTCAGTCAATGGTAGTGGGGATACCATTATGCGCGATTAGTGATTATGCTATGGACTTTTGATAGTGGGATATGATACTGTTATTATTATTATCTCTGAACAATATCCCCACGTGTTGTTTGAAAAAAGTATTCTTTTGTTTATAAAAAGTATTTTTTATTGTTAGCAAGGAAAAGAACATAGCTAGTTTCTCCAGATTTTCTCTACAAGCGGTAATTTTTTCATTATTTGTTCAGTATTTTTATTAATTTTTTATTGACAAGACTGTCTTGTTTATAAAATCATACTGCCTGCTGTGTTACCAGCTTAGAGGTATGAAAGAGTACATGTCAGAAGTTGTAACTTGGCACAGAGTATTAGGTGCCCAAATCATGCGTGCAAAAAAAAAAAACTTGTAGGTACTCAGAGGACCAAGAACTGAGTCAAAATAAAATTCAAAATGGCAACACTTTCTACAAACAGGCAGTGTGAGATTTGCGCATGCATTGCTGGTTGGGAAGTTGGAAATGCCATGGGGGGTATGCTAATGAAAAAGGTTGGGGACTGCTGCCCTAGAACAACACATAATATATCATGTATGTACTGTACACTCCCAATTACCACCTATCTATATCCCATAGATTTTACTTTTGCTGTAATGCTGAGCACGAACAGCTATTACATTATGATTTTCTGCATTATAAAAAAATATGTCAATGCATTCTTACAAAACTTATTTATTTAGTATTGTAGCATGAGTAATTTATAATTCCTAATAATTTAATATATTATGTAAAAATAAGTGCAAATTATAATTTTAAGAATTTTAAACATTGTATAATTTTATCAGTTTCATTTATATTTTATTGTAAATTGCAGGTATATTGTTGGAAAGGGGTGTGTATATTGTAATAGTGGGTGGAAATCTACTGTCTTAAAACACTTCCAATTATATGTATAATAAATAAAATAAAAATTTATACTCAACCAACTACATACAACCTTGTACAGCAGCAAATATGTTTATTAAACTAAGGTTTTCAGTCATCTTTAATGACCTTTATCAGGTTTGCTATTCAAAAATCAAACTCTACAAAAGCTAACAGAAAATAGAGCAAAAAACATTGAAACATTGAACAAGGTTTAAATATAAAAAATAAAAATATTTTACAATCTGTTACACTATAGTGACATACAGAAAAATTTCTTTAATTTTTATTTTTTGTACTCAAACCTTGTTCAGTGTTTCAATGTTTTTTTCTTCTATTTTCTGTTGTGTTTTGTGAAGTGTTAGATTTTTTGAATAGCAAACTTGATGAAGGTGAATAAAGATGACAGAAAACATTTGTTTAATAAACACATTTGCTGTACAAGGTTGTATGTAGTTGATTGAGTAATCTACTGAAGCAGTTACTTTATGAATTAAAAATTTATATTTAAATGATAATTTAAATACATTCTTTCAAATTTCCTTATTAAATTCCAAGCAGAACCATTTTGTTATGAAATCTAATAAGTATGATATGCTTTCTTAAATTAAGATATTTGCTCTTTATAATTAAATTTTAAACTTGTCTTGTAATTTAAACTATTATTTGTATACTTCAAATAAATATTCAAAATAATTTTTATCATTCTATGTAGAAAATAATGAAGAGCCTGGATTAATTACAAACAAACAAATCCAAACTGCAAGATTTTTATTGGGCAATCTTTAAGTTATACATAAATATCTTAATGACTTCATAGTTAAATAGTTTTTAATTTAATAAATAATTTATAAAAATTATGAAGATCAGGTCAGCATAAAACTCAAAGTCAAGCTTCTACAGACTAGAGGTATTACACATCTTTATATTAACTGAGTTATTTGTTACAGAAGTAAGAACTTAAATATTAAGATATAGGTATTGTTTCTTCATACTGGGTAGAGCAAACTGGACAATGATGATAACTATTCATTAACTGTCCCATATTTTAAATCAAATCAGAAATTTTATGGTTCAGTATATTTAAGTCTCTTTCTTAATTGACTAAATTCAAAATTATTTCAAATTATTAATATTAAAAAATCATCTATTACTGAAATTATATGAAATGACTATTCTGTCTATTGCCATTAGAAAATTTGTTAATTTCTTTGTAAATTAAAATAGCTCAACATAATGATTTCATAATCATTTAGTTTTTTTATAACATAAAAGAAAAATTATGTAATTTTTTATTATGAGAACTGAATACCTTTATATCCTTTTTTTACATTTTTCTTTGCATCTAATAAATCTTCCCATTTCTTTGCTCTTCTTGCAAGAATACTTAAATAACTTGCCATAAAGTCTTCATACGTAGAATGATCAAAATCATCTGGTCTTTCAAACCCATATGGATCAATACTGTAATAGAAATTATACTAAATTAATTTTAAACAACAATTAAAAAACTAGTATATTTTCTATTTGTTCAATTATTATCCACATTTTACAAAATATAGGCCTATTGTAAACAATAACATAATTAACTCTTGATAAATCAAGAAGACAAATAAAATACAATTCATTTAAAATATGTTTTGTTTAAACACCTCATTTAACATCATTTCATTATAACATTGAGGACAGACACAAGAATATTTGCAATCAATTACAGTTATTATTGTTGAATTTTCTTTATAACCAGTAAAATTGATTTTATGAGATGGAAAGTAAATGCTGGAGGTTGCACATACAATCCAATTAAACCAACATTAACCAAATTATATTTTGTTTATATACATACACAGAAGTATGTTGGAGCTAAGTCCAGTGAATGAAAATTGGGAAACAAGTGGCATTGAGTTCTTGGCCAAAAATTCTCTGTTGTNATATATATATATATATGAACTATGAACTCAATAACTTTATTCTTTAAGAAAAAAATAAAACTCAAAGATCTTAATTCCATTGCTTATAAATTCTACACACAAGTCATAAGGATACATGAAATTTGTAAAAACATCTAGATTAGTGGATTTTAATGTGGTTTTCACAACACCATCTTTATTTGGTGCAAAACTCTAGATGTAAGATTCCCTGATACCAAATAAAATTTATTTAAACTTTAAATAAATTTTTAGGTATCAGGTGTCTCTTTCATACACAACAGCAAGCCAGTTATGATGCTTGCTTCAAGAAAGCTACTACCCTAGATTAATTTTATTTAAAATATTCAATTAATATGCTGTTTAACTGGCTATCAAAAGCTCATTCTAAAATTAAGAGATAGAATCGTAACACAGTTACTTTCAAAAATGCAATACTTTAAGTCAAAAACAACTGCATCATTATTGATAAAACAAATATAAAATGAGTCTATATAATTATAGTATTTTTTCTAAAAATACTATAATTATATTACTTTATAGATTTAAAATCTGTTATAAAAATTTTATGAATTTTTTTGTAATATTACATTTATTCTTAATTTTAATGATCAAATAAAAATTTAATACAGGTAACCCCCGTATAACACGGGAGTTACGTTCCAAAAAATTGCCGTGTTATGTGAATCCGTGTTATACGAAACAAAGAACTAGTGCAAAAAGGGGGGTTAGGTTCCAAAAATTAAAAAACATGCTGTTAAATCCTAATTTAAATCAGATTTATTATTCATTTTTTTCATAGGTAAAATACTTATTATTTAAGTAAATATTTTACCAGAGGATTATTCATCCTATATGATGATCTCAGCATGAGCATCATCAACTGGTAACAGTTTTTGGGTGCATTTGTTAATAGCAGTCGCTCTGCAATGGGAGTGAGCTGCTGTTTGTAGGCATTTAGGAACGACGGTGAAAGAAAGATGGTGGTGCCCGCACTATCAATAGTATCGTGATGGAAGAATCTATAATTCTAAAATGAGCTTTTAGAGGCAAAAGAAGGGTTCCAATTGTAAAATTTAACCATTAAATGGATTATTTGTTGAAAGAGCATTCAAAGTAGCCACGAAAACAATTAGAATGTTTGTGCGGAGTTATGCAGAGGTATAAAAGAACGCACCTTTTATTACATTTCATGTTGTACGAGGGTTTTACCCAATTCCTGAACTGTGTTAGAGTGAACCCATGCTATAAAAGCATTGTGTTATATGGGGATGTTCCCAATTCTCCAACCGTGTTAGATTGAATCCGTGCTATAAAAGTGCTATGTTATACAAGGGTTACCTGTACATTTAATTTTATTGTTCAATGATATATTCAATCCTTACATATAGCCTATACTCAGCTTGACCAAATCAATTGTGGCATCAGTTTTAGTCAACCACAGATAATATAAGCTGTTAAAATGGAAAACATTTATAATTTCCATGAAAACATTAATTCCATATTTTCTACAAAAAATTTTTTCTTTAACTAAGATATGTAGTAATCTTTTCTTCTGATTATAGATTGGTGAAAATTGTATGTATTTAATTTCAGTTTCATGCAAAATGAACAAAAAACAAAAATCAATTCAAATATGAATAGGAAAGCAAATAGTTTTTATGGTAAAATATAAATACTTCTATTTAGTTTGTAATACCTTAGTAAGTGTGTTTATAAAAAAAAAACTAAAACACCATTATAATGCAACAAACATACTTTTCAGCATTTTTTCAAGAGAATAAAAATACTATGGTAGGTCAGTAGTTCCTAACATTTTCCATTTGTTTTCCATTTTGTGAAAAAGAATACAAGTTCATATTTCCCTAAATATCCATAAAGTGAAAATACAGTAAGACCCTGCTTAACGCTGCCTCACTTAATGCTGATTCGATGTAAAGTGGTCTGCTCGAAGCCTAAAAAAAATCTCAAAATTTACACTGATTTAAGTTATCACAGCATTTTATTGATTTGTATATAATATGATTATTTATGAACATGAACAATCAGAAAAAGGTGTACTTTCTTTAAATCTATGTTTGTTTGGTGCAATTTTGGAAAAATATATCATCATGGATGCCATATGAAATATCATCTTTGCTTGGCAAGAATTGACTGATAAATGCACGAATGAAGTGTGGAAGAAGTTATGGCTGAAGGTATCCAAGAATTCTCAACAAGAGGTACGCTCTTGTTGAGTACCACTGTGACGTTAAGTTGACCAAAGTCAATCTAATTGATACAGCAGGACTAGGAGATGTAGACAAGCAGGATATTGAAGAGTTACTGTAGGTTTCTGATGAGAGTCTTATCAATGACAACCTTCAAGAACTGGCAGAACATGGAATTCATGTGGAATTAGAAAATAGAGATGACCCAAGAAATCTATGTAAAAATAAAAATAAACAAGCAACTAAAACAAAATATATTAACTTTCCATATATTAAAGGTCTATATGAATAAATCAGCACAGAAATAGAAAAAATAAACTACAAATTAGCACCATTATATCAAAAAATGGAAAACAGACTGTTAACCTCGAACCAGAAGAAAAACCAGCAAATACCGACCAAAAACCAAGGTGTAGTATATAAAATTCCGTGTACCTGCGCAAACAAAAAACATTACATAGGAGAAACAAAAAGAAAAGTAAAAACTAGATTGAAAGAACACATAGCAGACCTAAAATACAATAGAATAAATTCTGCATTTTATGAACATTGTACTATAAACAATTGTAATATAGATAAAGATAACATAGAAATACTGTATAAAGAAAAATTAACATACAACAGGAAGTTTAAAGAAACCATAGAAAACATGAAAAGTAAAGGCAGTATAAATAAAAATTTAAGTCTTAATTAAAATAAATGAAAACTGGCTTAATATATTATAAATAAAAATTTTTTCTGTGAAAAAATTCTTTTTCTTCTGTGAAAAGTAATTTCTCCTAGAAATAATTCTTCCAAGACAGATTTTAGTTAAAATTAAACCACAAGGTGGTGAACATCATACGTGGCAACACTAGAGATACCAGCACATCAGGAAAAAATAAAAAGGAGATGGAAGGTAAAAAACGGGGCAGAAACAGCTAAAAATTTTCACAGTTGTTTTGTATCAAAATCTGCCTAAAAGGGAAGATTCTGGAAAATTTTAACCTTTTAATTTGTAATATATACTAGTTTATTTACAAAAGATTAAGGCAGATTTTACATGTTTTTAAATTATACAAAGTGTAACCAAAAGGTACGTCTATATATCGTTTATGTACTCATTGTTTTATGTAAATTCTCTACTGTAATAATTTAAAAAATATATATTGTATTTTAGTTGACTGAAGAGGGGCAAAGCCCGAAACGAGTACAAAACAATGTACCATATTGACTCAACTAATAAAGGAATTTGATGGAAAATTTGCCATGTGTCTTTGGAATAAAACACAATACTAGTGTTTATTACGCCACAATTTTTGTGTGCATATGTTTATGTGTTATTTAACATATATCAATATAAAAATAACTTAAAATTAAAGTAAAATTTGTTTATTTTGGTCATATGTTCTCCTATCCCTATTTACTCTATGTTAAAATGACTTCGTTTAACACTTTTTCATTTAGTAATTTTGTCGTCTAGGAATGCATCCCCCACGTTAAGCGGGGTCTGTACTTTACTGTACCTTATTGTTAAAAATGTTGCTAAACAGTTTTCAATGATTGCCCCATAATCAAGTTTCAATTATATTTTAATTTATAGTAGTACAGTACTTATTTTAGTGATATGAAGTTAGTCGAAAGAAAAAAAAAACAGATTAAATTTTAAAAAATCTGTTGTAAATTCAAATTAAATATAATCAGAAATTTATTATTCTTACTCATAGTGAATAATATATTGTGTGCAAATAAATTAAATGCAAACTAGTTGTATATTATTGTGACATTGTCATGATGCTGGGCTGAAAATTTTAATCATATTCTAATTTTAATTTTAAAAAATCATCTAATTTTCAGTCCAGATCAGAAGTTTGTTTTAAATAAATTGAGGTCTTTGGATCTTAAGCTTTCACTATCTGATTTCTTATTTTCATCTAACTTCATTCTCAAGATTAAGGATGGACAGACAGATGACATGGAAATTTGAGTCTGCAATTTGAAAATCTGCTAGTAGCTTTTATCTACTTTGATTTAGTAAATTATGAACAACTGATGTATAAACTTTTAAGTTAGAAAAAAATTGATGATTTAAAATATACAAAAACCTGACAGCTGTCAAATGTAATCTTGTAAAAGTACAGTACTTTGTATACCACAAGTTGGGAAATATAATGGTAGATCACAACTTTTAATTTGTGATAGACACACTTCATTTTAAGCTGGCCAGGCATAATATATACCAGTGATAAATTACATGACAAGAACCATAAATATCACTCATCAGAAATGCACAAGAGCTACATCCTCTATTATATATATATATATAGTAATACAAGAAACTATATTA